TTCAAATCTGAGATCAGATTTTCATTAATTGCAGTTATTGGACTTCATTAAGTCTAAGTGCACGTTGCTATGATATGAGACCACGGGACTGTAGCATTTTATCCTAGGAATGAGCTCCTGAAGATTTCTCACTATTCAAAATTTCCATAATTCAGGACTAATTTTCCCATAAGAAATGGGATTCACATTATTTCAAAATTTGTGCATTTCTTTATGCCTTTCTATTTGAAATCTGCATAAAATAAAACCTCATTGTAATGATAATAGTACTATAACTTTATGGCATCTTTTGAGAAATAACTGAGATAAGCCATGCATATAAACACTTAATACCTGGCACATTGCTCAGTAAATGTTCATTGTGACTTTAATTACATTGTCACTATTACTGCTATTATTACTATTATTATTATTATTATCAGTACCCTGAACCTTGTGTACTCTAATCTTCATCATTTCAAGGATGATTGTCAAATTCCACTTCAGAGCAATTCTATCATTTAAGAACATCGAATTCCTTAAAAAATTGTTCCCTTCAGAATTGCTTTGATGGAATTATGCTGAAGTAGGAGCATAATCGTACCAAAGGTGATTATGCAAAGGAGCCCTGTGAACCGTGCCACTGTTCTTGCCGCTGTTGGCTCTTGAGGTTGGTCGTCACATCTTGCGAGAAAAATCCCCGGCTGCTCTGGTTTCCAGGAATGGTGGAGAGCAAAAGTATCATTTTAGAAATATAATCCCTGTGACTAATCTTCCCTGGGACCTCCCAAGAGCCACGGCTAAGTCTGTAGCTTATGTAGGACATTTATGTATCATCAGGCCTCTTTTCTGTCTCTCACTTTTGTTGATCTTTTTTTGTTTGCCCTATCTTTAATTCATACTACTTTGCACGGGGAATGTACCCTTGTAAGCTCTTTGCATTCGTTTCTGGAGAAAAAGGAGTGTATGCATGCATGAGTGAATAAATTCCTTTAAAGTAAAGGAGAGGAAGGGTACATAGAACAGCTTCCAAACACATGCTTGCTGATCATAAATCTTCATGTAAGGCTATAAAAATTGCTGAAGTGGAGCTTCATTATCTCCTACAATGGACATCTATCTCTTTTGCAGGCCCAGCATCAATCCATCTGTTTTCCATTGGGAAGCACCATCTTCCAATCACAGGTCCTGTGGTTTTGGTGAAATAGATACCGCTTTTGGCTCCTGGGCACTTGACTTAGCATAGGAGTACTTTATCCATCTCCAACCTCAGTGATTGGCTTATGAATGGGTTCATAACCTTAACTGGGGGAATGTGGATTACTCCTGGGATTCCAGGTACAATTATTGGGAAGAGGTCCTCTTTACACTAGGGTTGTTCAATGGGTAGGATACAAACTTGGCAAATCTAGGGATGTCACAGGGCAAGAACACCCGAGGACAGAGCTGAGAGAAGTGAGAATCCCTGAGCGTGGATGACATTCTTTATGTCCCTGAATCCATCTAAAAGTAAAGCTTTTCTGCTTCTGGACTTTTCTGTTATGTAACAATGAATCACCCTTTTCGTTTAAATCAATTTGAGTTACTTGCAACAGAGAGTTCTGCCTATTATTCCACCTCAAATACTAATACTTCAGCTGGTTTTTCTCTTGTTGAATATAAAGTGAAATGTTACACAAAATGAGAGCAAAAGTCAATGTCGTCAAGCATCTCTATGGGTCTCCTTTGGAACATCCCCAACATTCCTCGTCATATTTCAGCCTGGCCATTCCCTTGCAGTTAGTGGCTCAAAGTTGAGAAAGTTTACTTAATATTTGCATTCCCAAATTTAGGAAATGTAAATGGAAACTTAAAGATGGATAAAAGTTCTGTCTACAAATCAACATTCTGCAAATAGTTGGTACAGAGCTGTGATGGCTGCTTTCGAGTGTGAAATAAAACGAAGAAGTTTTTGAGCACATGTAACTCTTCCTCTGAGAACTCGCCCTCCACACAGTTCTTACATACTTCCCAGTAACACCAATTGTGTGACGACTATAGTATACTCTTTCTACTTGTTAGAAAAGGTTGCTGTAAAAGAGTCTGCCCTGTCTTGCTAGCCGCAGCCTCATACATCTTGTGTTCACTGCATCTCTTGATTGCATCACCCCCCTTGTGCTTGATTTTATCTCACGTTGTTTTGTAACATGCTGTACAGGCTTGTGGCCTGGGAGCAACAGGCTAGATCAGCCGTGAGCAAACTACGGCCCGATTGAAATGAATAAAACTAAAAAAAAAAAAAAAGACCGTACCCTTTTATGTAATGATGTTTACTTTGAATTTATATTAGTTCACACAAACACTGCATCCATGCTTTTGTTCCGGCCCTCCGGTCCAGTTTAAGAACCCATTGTGGCCCTCGAGTCAAAAAGTTTGCCCACCCCTGGGCTAGACCATGTTTCCTACGTATGTATGTCATAGGCTATACCAGCTAGGTTGGTGTTAATACACTCTATGATGTTTGCACAATGACAAAATCACCTAAGGACATTTCTCAGAATGCATCCCTATTGTTCATGGCACATCCCTATTATAATTTTAAGTATAACAAAAATAATTATATTTATTGAAATGTTACTAAAAAAACAAAACCACCGAGAGCTGTTCTAAAATATGTAATGCAGGAAATTCCCATAAACGGGAGCACTGTGCAAGATGTCACCCCTCTGTGACACAAACTCAGTGACAGCTGGTCTTGCAGCAGCGCTTCCCCCTGGCAATCTCATGAGTTGTGCTGTCCTCCACCCAGAAAGAAGGGGGCATGTTGGCCTCAGTGAAACATCAAAAACTCCAGCCTTCTCCTCAGGGTTTTTCATCTTCTTGGCTTCAAGGAAACTATTTTAAGTCAATGAATTCCAGGAAGCAGCAGGACAAACATTAACCTTTTTACTTTGCCCACAGCAGCCATTATAACCACGGGTGCTCCTCGGATTTCATGATGAAGACCCGATTTCACTGATTTCCAGTAGTTCTTGAGGGTGAATTTGCACAGTCGACTTCCTTTAAAACAGAACCCCGCATCTTCCTCTTCAAAAGATGTTGTCTTGCAGCAGCCGTAAGAAATAAATAGACGGTTCACAAGAGTGAAAACACACGGGGTTTCTGCACAGTAGACCCTGCAGCCACAGCCGATGGGACCTCAGAGCACAAAGACCCAGCTGTGAGCGCCAGGGTTCCTGAGTGTAATTAAGATCACAGAGGTCCATACAAATAAACCGACATAATTATGTAAACTATATGATAATCTTGTGGATGATAGGAGGCTAGTTTACGTAGTTTCAGCCAACTAGAAATAATATTAACGATACAGCTTGCATGCAACTGAGCAAACACCATGTGTCTGGCACTGCATTAACATGTATTTGCAGGAAGACACTGCTTGCCAATACTGCCAGTGCACCAAGGAGTGCGGAAGGCCGATGGACGTTGGGCATTAGCAGGGCTGACTCTAAGACCAATTATTGAGATAGTGGTGGCAATTCCCTAACCCAGTGGTCGGCAAACTGCGGCCCCTTGAGTGTGGATCTTCCACAAAATACCACGTGTGGATGCTCACGTACAGCACGATTGAAACTTCGTGGCCACACTCAAGGGGCCAAAAAGCCGCATGTGGCTTGCAAACTGCAGTTTGCCTACCACTGCCCTAACCTGATAATCCTTTTACTGTTTACCAAACTTTACCTTTGACATGCCTGTATGCATTGCTAGGGGGCAAGATGTGTATCTAAAACTGAATAAAAAGCAGCCGGGACCCAGTCTTGGGGGTGCCTCTTCAAGAAAGAGATCTCCACCTGGCTCCCCATGCCTTCTAAATTCATATTTCTTGTACAGCATTTTCATTTGTGTGTCAGCCCCTCCTTCAGATCCTGAACCCCACCTCGAAGGTTGCGGCATATATTCTTTGCTACACCCTTGGGAGTCCCTCTTATCTCTGTTTCACAGATGGACAAACTGAGACTTAGTGAGGATAAGTAACCAGATCTTCCCCCCACCTCCCAGCATCCTTCACCACCTTTTTGCACAGTGCTTTTCCTGTCACTGGACTAACTCAGAAGATTTTAGTACTTTGCCAGTGATATGCTGCCTACATCCTTCAAGCTTTGCAAAGTATTTTCACATTTGGGATGACATGGAACGCATGTTATAATTGAATCCTCCCCCATTTGTTCTAGCCATCGACCTGAGGGCTGGGAGCAGCGAGGAGTGGTAGTGCTCTTCCAGTGCTGTCTTTGGGGGAGGAATGACTTTCTCTGGGCCAGTCCTTGGACAGATGCACCAATCTAGCTTTTCATTACTTAGAAACACAATCTGATGCTGATGAGCAAATAGCACATGTGTATCTTTCCCAAACCTGCGAGGTAGCTTTATCACCTGATTTTACAGATAGCAGCATATGTTGCACAGCCATACATTCAAGTCTCCTATTCTTGACACTCCACACAGGACTGCAAACACCTAGTGTGCGAGCAGCCACTTCCCCAGTTTGTGCGCTCATGTTAACCATCACTCACAGTATTTGTCTTAGATTAGGTTTCACCAGAAATAGACCCTGTGGTGAAGATTTGAGTAAAAGAAATTGATCTGGGAGTTGATCCTACAGTAAGGGAATGAGGAGTCAAGACATGGTGCATTAATAATCAGTTTAGCTCCCTGGCAGGTGGGGCTCAGGCCTGCTCGGGATTGCTGGGGGTTGGGTGAGAGGAGGAGGAGGACACACACAGAGCATGCCCCTGCATTGTCCTCCACCAGGGCATTTTCCACCAACCTCAGTCAGTCCTTGGCTGTCTCCAGGGGCATTAAGGGCCAGGCATTTTTTCTGCCTGCTTTGTCTCCCTGGCCCGCACTAACAAGCTCTGGAGGCCATAGAAAGTCCCTAAGCAAGGTGTTTGCAGTTAGAAGCTTATGCACGGAGCCATGCAGTGCCAAGGGAATGTGGGTGGGGCATGGGCTGTGTGGGTCTGTGTTCTTTCCGCTACATGTAGAAGCAGTTCTCTACCAGCTCCCTCCAGGCAGCCTCCACCACTCAGCGGAACTCGGTAAGCAAACCGAAGTCAGTTGAACATTTTGATTCTTACTTTACTGATTTATAAATGTAGACAACTTCTGCTCTGACTAGATAATAGGTAAATTGTCAATGTTGATATGTAATACAGTCTTATGTGTTGGCCGTGAGTTTTCTAAGGGACAGAGGGCAGTGTGGGTTATGGTTAACAGCACAGATTCTGATGTGAGACTACTGATTCCCCTCCCAGATGCTCAACTAAATTGCCACATGATCTCATGCAAATTACAGAATTGCTCTGTCTCAGTTTTTTTTCAATACTTGGGAGCAAAACAGTATCACACAGGTTTTTCTGATAATTAAATGAGTGTCTGCCTATCTATCTGTCAATCAATCATAATATATCTATCATCACTTAGTAAGTAAGGTAAGTATAATATGTTATCATTATCAATATATGACATATAACTTACAAAAAGTAGTAGCAGATTAAATTTTAAAGAGCAAATGTGGGGAGTCTTTAGTAATGTTACTTTCCATTATAAATGGCAACTCTTAGTCACTGGGAGACTGTGCTTATGTAGCTAGACTTGGCAATTCAGGCAGGAAAAAAGACAGAAATAATTTGTCATTTATATAAGGGAACATGGATCCAATTTTGGCAGCCAGAAAGAAAAATAGTGCTCTATTTTTCAATGTACATAAAAAAGAAAAACCTCCTGCAAGTATAACTGGGAATCTTGTCCCCTGGTTCCTTTAAACCTGAGAGCCGCAGGCACCTCGCTTTTATTGATTTCATCTAGTAAGTGGTTCCTGGGCTTCTTAACTGAGACAAAATTGAACCTCAGCTCTCCAGAGCCTGCGCTCTCTAGAAATCCCCTGGGGTGCGGGGGTGGGGGGGGGGGGATCATTGATCAGATGAGAAAATCCACCATTTCAATTACCCCTTTTCTCCTTTGGGAGGTAAACCAAGTCAATAGGGCATCTGACTTTTCCAGGATGTGTGCTTTCCTTAAACTGTAGACTCAGCTCAGTTGCAGGCTGGGCAAAGGGACTGATTGGGCAGCCTTGCAGAACAAAGCACTGATCCTCTTTCTTCCAAATCATGGGCTCTGACAAGCATGCCTGATACATCGCCAAGCATCACTAGACATTTGATTTCTTGTTTCAGTGTGAGAAAATCCCCAGGAATACATACTGGTAAAAAAAGAAAAACATCTATATCTCTATATTAAAATCACTGAAGATATCTTTTCCTGTCCACTTTCTCCCTTTCCTTTTCCTTCTGATCAAACAGAAAGGTCTTGAATGACTTATAGCTCCTCAATGCCCAGAGAAGGCAGGCAATAGGACCTGAAACCCACAAGATGAAGTCACTGTTTCCAAAGTGGACTACATTCTACTCATATATGTTTTAAATTAACTTTCCTTTGTAAGGGAGTTTCTGTGACCAAGGAGAAGCTATAAAACTTTAGGTTGCCTGCATCTCCTAATAAAAAAATAAAACTTTAAAGTCCCTTTTAGCTTTAAAATTCTATGGCTCTGACTTTAGCTATAATTCTAGAGCTCTGACAAGAGAGAGAGGGGTTTGAAATGAGTTGGAAGTGGACTACAAGGAGAATGCCAATTGGAAAAATAAAGTCTAATTTTAAAAGGCAAGCAATATAAAGCTAAATCATGAATTTTTCTCTTTTTTACAGGGAGATGCTCAGAAGTTAACAAAGATTCTTGAGGAACTAAGCAACAATGTCAAAGCCAGTCCAATACCGTGGCTCTTGGCTCATGCCAAAGGTCAGCGGCAGCTTTGATGGACAGCTCCCATATAGCCTGATGGCTTCTGATCTCAAGCATCAGTGCCTCTAGGCCTGATGCCCACTTCTGCCTATAGAAAACCAGAAAGGGGAGTTAGACCTCCAAAGAGACACTCATAATGGACCAGGGACAGACTGTAGAGGATAAATATCTCAGGCTCTTCATACCCCAGTGGGATAGCAATGAATAGACAATGTGAAAACTAGAGGCCTCAGTTGTACTTATAGAGAGGCCCTCATCCCCTATGTGGAAGAGTCAGCTCAGAGGAAACACTCTGAAAGGATGGGTGTATCTTTCAGGATATAGCACATTCATTAAATCAGGACTTTATATGGCACTGTCTCCAACAGGAAGAACGCATGGGTCCAGGAACCAAGAGATGGCAGCAGAAGTGGTCCCAAATATGTCACAAAAATGTACACTCCAGACTCTGCAGGATTGGAGGTCCTGGTCCTGTAGGGAGACTCACTCTACAAAGTGGACACAGCAAAGGTGTCATTGAACTACAAGGTCTGGCTTCCACTAGGCTATTTTAGACTCCCTGTGCCTAGGAACCAGGATGTGAAAAGAGGAGTGTGAGGGGTAATTGGTCATGTTCCGCAGGAGGAGGAAGGGCTGCTTTCACACATGGAGGCAAAAAAATACATGAGAAAGCCAGGTGATCTACGTGGGCACTTGCTGGCACCGCCTGATAACCATGGGCAGATATGTGCTCCATCCCTAGACTGAGAAGGGTATGACTAACAACCTTTCAGGTGGTTCAGGGATTTTTTTTAAAAAAGATACTATCAGTTTTGTTTTAGAAGAAGTAGTTCTTCGGCTAAAGGGATGGTTTCTAACCCTTTTTTTCTTCTGCCTTCCATCCTTTCCTCCTATTTTATTTTCACATCTCATTTTGATGCTTATACAAGCTCATTTAAAATTTTATCATACACTTCAAAGGAAAGAAAGGCATTTAAAACACTGAGTTTCTTTTTCCAAGAATCTCAAAATGTTTAACAACCCGTTAGGCTCCATAGAGCCCTGGAGGAAACAAGGAAGAAGACAATCAGACAGAAGAAGGGGGGAATGATGTGGTATATTTTCATCCCAGAATTCAGTAGCTATGGCATCTTGTAGTTCTTATTTGACCTATCTGCCAAACTTCCCTACCATCATTGGTTTAAAAGCAGGCAAAGGGGGCTGGAGGAATGGAGACATCTGTAATAGTCTCAACAATAAAAATAAAGAAAAACTAAATAAAAGCATTTGGTTCAAATCTTTATTCCATCCAAATTTTCCATATTTCAATATTTGCATTCAATCCCCATACACACTAGCCAATTAGATCATTACTAGGGAATGACCTTCTTGATGGCAATGCCCATGGCAGAGAGACAAGTCCAGCCTAGAGTGAGTGCTCAGAAAACATTGGGTGGATGCTCTTATGTCATTTAAACAAACATTTACTTAGACAAGGTGCCATACTAGCCACATGATCCCTATTTTGAAGGAGTTCACAGTCTAGTGAGATGCAAAACTATAAAGATGTGCTACAATGAGCTGGCAGCAATCATCACTCTCTCTGCTCTCTTTAGTCTTCATGCCGTGGGCAACACAGAACCTCACTTCCTGCTAGGATTCCTCCACAGCCAATTTTCTCACTCCTTCACTCACACTGCTGTGCTCCCAGAGATGGCTATTTGGAGATATCAAGCTAGGTAATGGGGACACAGACAGATGGACAGATCTATTGGAGAAAAATAGTGTCTTTTCTTGTGTTTGGGACTTCAGCCTCTTTCAGTCACGAGAAAATATTCCAATTGGTATTTATTGAGCTGAGCAT